TCCCCTAAAGGGAATTACCACCTGTTTATGGGAATAAAACGAATCAGTACCTAAAAGTAAATTTGGAGGCTGTTAATCCACTGAACACATGCAGATTGATACAACTAAGTGGGACTATTTTATGTACAGGACAGTCTCAGACAGTCCCTTTAAATCGGCTTTAATTAAAACACACGTTTGTTTCTATTCAGGGGACATTTCATTCAATTACATTAATTTCCTGGAGACTTGCTCTAACCTTACAACTAGTCTACTTGCCTAATCCTAATCCACACTCTAAAATATAATGATTGACATTACAGGGGCTTGTTTTATGTCCCCATAAGGATGTCAAGTCCCCACAGTGAGACTGCATAAACAAATTTATATCCCCACAACATGAGTGATACCGGGCCCCCCACACAGATTCCCATTCATGAAAAAAATGACACATGTATATGGAAGTTGTGATTTTATTGATGTGTACCCTCACTGTAACCATCAGTCTGTTTCTGCTAATGTCGATCAGTTTTTAAAAATCTCTAATATGCATATTATATTAGTTCCCAGTCTCCTCCCACAATCAAGCAGGCCGTTACACAACTGAAGCCGTTTGGGTGCATAGTGAGACAGTCACATACAGAGATACTGTCACAGGAAGAGAAAAAATAGAAAACAAACTTAAAAATATATATCATATCATTTCATATAAGAACAATGCACACCACAGGTAATCCTCTGCAAAAAAGCCATGATTGCAACATCAACTATACAGGCATACAAACACAATACTAAGAGAGAGAGAGAAAAGAGGAATCTAGGATTCAATTTGCTTGTTTGTGTCATTCTCTGCCTGTAAAAACACACAAGCTCGCTTTTATCCCCTCCCCCAGAAACCACCTCTCCGAGCCTTGTCTGTCTGGTGTCTCTGTCTCCCTGCACAGTCATCCAGCTCCAGGTTCTCTTCAAGTGATTTTGATCCAGGGCCGGCACAAACTATCCTGGGTACCCAAAACCCAGAGACCCAAAAGTATTTGCTACAGTCCTCAAATTTGGTATATTCAGGTTCAGAAATAACTTTTCCCATTGTTTGTCAGTCCCATTTATTAGCTATAGCAATGCCACCATGCTGTGCACATTACTACTTAATTTGGGGGTTCCCTGGTGCCCAATTGGCCCTAAGCTTCTGTTTGTGCCTCTGCCCAGCCCTGTTTTGATCTATCAGGCTGTTCTACACTTGTGGCATGTCATCGGACACTATCTCAAAAAGCTGCAGAGGAACACATCAGGTACATAGCACAGAAGAAAAAACTTCCACAATACATTTCTATACTATGTGCCTGTCAATAGGTATTATTTAATCTATTGATTTATACTGTTTCCCTTTGAGCTGGGGGCCTGTGCACACCTTCACCTTCCCTGACACTTTCTAATAGCGTGCCTGTAACCACAACTTGCGTGCACCAAGCTAAGAACCCTAAACCGACTCAGAGCTTCTTGCATGGAAAAAAAGGTGGAATAAAAACATCTACTCTTTTATATATATTTAAACTGTATATGTATATTTTGTCTGGTATCATAACAAAGAACAAAGAAAATATTACATGATTTAATTTTTTCTCATTTGTTGTCTCACTATACATTTTAATTGGTACAAAGAACCTTCATATACAAGCGATCTATTGAGAGGAGAAAAAAAAATTTAACACCAGTTTGTTTTGACAGGATCATCAGAAACTGCATGGATGACACTTGCATGATGGAAAACTAAAGTGTAGTGACTGGTATGCCGGTTTGATGATGGCTACTCAAATACGTTACACTTTGCTTGATTTGCCAATCACTTTCAAAGTTTGAAGAGATGTTCTACATCTTGATCTGAGATACCTGTGTTGATAATTACAGAGAAATCTGCAGAATCACGTTTTCCATATATGGCAGATACATCACCCTTTCAAAAGAAACATGATCAAAAAGAGCTCTATAGTACAACAGGAGCAGTAGTAGAAGTAGTAGCATTACTTAAGGATTGTTTGAACAAACCAGTAAATGGAGTTTTGGATGTATGCAAAGGATTTTCAACAATAGCATCATGTGTTATTGGTCAGTAGTATGTTCCCCCTCAGTTGCCGTCCTCTGTCAGACTCCTCAGTGCTCCTTTAAGCTCCGGTTAAATCTGCATCTGCTCCAGGTATTTGTAGGTGGGGTTCTCGTAGCCATGGTTCTGCATCTTGTTGAGGTGGCGTTCCTCTGGTGTCAGCATGGGGTCAACCTAGGATGCAGACTCAAAAACGTCAGAATACACTGACAGCTCTTCTCATGAAGGCACAACATGGTGGGTGTGTGTCACATGTAGATGCTGCAGGACAGTAATCTGATTTGCTTTCCATTTATCCATAACTATTTACATAAGACCATCATACATATCTGACACTGATAGCAGTTCACCAAGAGCACCGGTGTGTGCGGTTTAACACTGTGCCACACAATAACAGGCGGCTCACCTCCACAATTCCATGACTGATGGTGCCATATTGCCTCTTCCTTAAAAGCACCAGACTGATCACAATCACGGTTGCTATGGCCACTGCAATCACAAGCAAGCCAATCAGTGCGCTGCTCCCGAAGCTGAAGTCCTCTCCCAGGGGCCGGTAGGACTCCTAACAGGTAGAATGGGTCAGAGGAAGACAGAGAGCTGCAGTGAGAAGATGACACACAGAAGCACCAAGAAGACACAATAAAGCTGTTTTTCTATAATAATCAAGAAATTCTAAACCTGTAGTAGCTACGCCAATTAAGTCATTTTTATGCTGAATACCATCCAGCTCTGTGAACCATTCTTATTCTCATATTCCATTATGATCAATGATCACAATAACATTAAGAGCCACTTTAGCATTTGCAGTTTGGACACTTCCTGACACAGACTAGGCCTGTCTCCTTGTGTGTTTGCTGCTCTTTCTCCACCAGGCACACGAGCTAAACTAATGTAATCAACCCAACATCTGCACATGAACATAAAAACTGTCAAGTTGACCTGAAGTGCTGAAGTGAAGCTGCTGTGCTCTGCAGTTCCTTTCAATAGCTACATGGTTTTTCAAGGCGAGACTGTGTTTAGTGTCAGTCTGGTCAGTCTGACTCAAAGAGACTGTTTGCAGCAGTTTCTGTTTATCTGTAACATTAAAGTAGGCTTGCACCAATTCCTGTGATCAGCATAGTTGTTGCTGGAATCTGTGCTCCCAAATCTCTACAGCAGATGTATTGAGTAAATTGTTACCATGATCAAAATTCATAAATGAAAGATATAAGGTTAGCACCCAGCATTGCACATAGAATAATTTTCCCCTAAACATTGAGCCACAAATAAATATAAAAGGAACAACTCATTTATGACAACTGAGGCTGGATTCTTCTGCTCTGTAGGTAAAATGTATATTTGTCAAGCAGCAATAATGAAATATTGATATCACTTTTAGATTAACCTTTCTTGAAGTTGCTTGTAAATGGGGAGAAAAATCAACAGAAGGAGATTTGACTCTTAGTTCTCATGTTATGTTATAAAACCACAGTGAAGCAGAGTCAATGTCCCTTTTGGCAGAGGATCTGAAGACATGTTTGACTTGTGAATAGAGTGTCCACATGCATTCAATGTGTGTGCGTGTGGAAGATAGTGTAATACCTTGGCCAATTCCATATACACACACAGTCACAGTCATCTTCACAATGTAATCTGTCACATATGACACAAACTAATCATATGTAGAGAGCCACTGGGGGGTTCGTTTACTGCTCATTCTCACACATAAACTGAGCACACCCAGTTTGTGTGGATTCACATTCATCATATGATCTGAGATTCTCAATGTGTACATTCAGATACATTCACATAACAAACATGCACCCATGCAGAAATAACCAAAACATATTAGCCTGAACATAAAACCTAAAGAAACAAGAAAGGGGATTAGGGGTCTGTTCCAATGCTGTGTTTTTGTTTGGTTTTGTTTTTTGGCAGTCATCAGCTGGTATTTTTGCACACTCCCACACTCCCTCTTTTCATCTTCTCCCCACTACTGATAACTACAGTTCCCCAGAGAGCCCTATGGAGGGCGCCGCTATACTCACCAGCTCATCATCATGCATAACGCTGACTCTCTCTGCACTGTAAACCACTTCTTTAACATCCAGAGACTCATCAATCACCTGTCAACACAGACAGGGGAGCCCAGGTTACACTTACCACAATGTGTGTGTGTGTGTGTGTGTGTGTGTGTGTGTGGGCGGGTGTGTGTTTGTGTATGAGAGAGACAGAGAACGAGAGCGAGAGAGAGCCAGAGGGTGTGAATGTGCAGCCAAGTAAACTGCAAATCTATGTTGGGGTGATGGTACACTTGCAGCTGTCTGGTACAAACTGGAAGGAGAGAGGGAGGTGGTTTGCAAGCATCAACAACAGACTCTCTTCTGGGCACACAGTTAACATGTCTTTCTAAGCAGACTGTCAGCCACTCATTACTGAGAGCTCTAATCTGAAGAAGAAGAAGCACTGTGAGTGGCAGTGGCTGTGTTCAGGAGGCAGAAACAAAACCCGCTGTTTGTAGAGACAGAGCAGTCCAGAGTCTGGTTCTCACAAAAAAACATAAGCATCACAGATATTTTTAAGAGTTATTTTTAACCTCAGATTGCTCTGTCTTAGAAAACTAGCATTCCCAAAAAGAAACGTGCATGCATTCACAAACTTGCATGGCTCATATTCACACACACACAAATACACAGCCTTGCAGTCAGTGGCGGTTTAGCATGCAAAACACAGCACACATTTGGTAGCCGAGCACCGTCTGAAAATCTGTGAGGAGGAATGGTGTGTCTGGCAAAGAAAAGTAGCATGCGGTGACGGAATAACAAAGCGTGGCGTTGATCTGAATGAGGGTCGGTTGGCAGAGGCCAAAGAGAGACACGCAAATAGCCCAGTGTGAGACATCTGTAACTATGACAACATAGTTACTGGAGTAGTCTGACTCATTGAAAGCTGAACTTAAGAGAGCTATGTGAAAGCGCTGCATGTACTTGTTAATTTCAATCATCAGCACTCGGCCTGAGGTTGTGGCAATAAAATTAAACTGTCAAGGCAGGTGTCACAATTTCTCCTGTGTTTTTGCTTTAACAATGCTGCTCTCAGTTCACATGTTGAGCAAGTTGGGAAAGTTCAAAATGCTTTGAGGCACAAACAGAATGATAAACTGATAGTTAGGTTTCTTACCACGTTGTCGCTGATCTTAGGTTTGCTGTTGATGATTCTCTCCTCAGCACCTATCAGACCGTCTAGACCAGCCATGGCAGAGCCTGCAGGAGGTGAAGGGGCACAGTAAATAACAGCACAAACCAACACACAGAGATGCTGGTATTGATGGTGGACAGCTGCACATAGATATCCACCTCTTTTTCTCACAATTGTTGCCTCAGTCTCTTTAGTACACTGGTGACAACAAAGCCCTTTCTTCATTCAGCACAGTGTGAGCACTGTGAAGCCAACGTCACACTGACCTTACATTTTCTACAAAGGCCCTCTGAAAGTGGTGCTTTGCATATAGCTGAGTTTTCTCTGTAAACATCCAGTTACGTGCATGAACTCACTAAATGAAACACCTCTAAACAATTACAAGTCATCCTGGCACTTTGTATTCCTCACTCATCTCCAATTTCATGGTCAAATCTCTGCATTGCAGTAGATCCTCATCTACAAATCTGTCATAGTCCCTTGAGATTTTTACACATGATCATTTTTAAAAACCACACAGCTAAGCTAAAACCTGGGCCACAGTGTCAAATTTGCATGTTAGATGGATTGTTTTGAAATAGGCATAGGATCTATTAATACACACACACACACACCAGATAGGCCATGAATAAATCAAGAACTGAGGGGAGAGCGTGAGCGAGGCCGTGATGACAGGGTCCTGAACAATGAGTCTGGCGTTAGCTTACTAGCTGCTGCTACTGCTTGTCAGCCGGTGTCTAATACTTAAGATTAATACAATTGCCTTTGGATTAAGCAAAGAACAGTGTGTTTATGAGCCTCACTGAGCAGATGTGACATCACAAAGTCAGGCAGGTTATCAGATTGCACTGCAGAAGCACCCAGTGTTACAGCCAGCCACAGTAACACACAGCACAGTGGGAGTGACCTCTAAGGGAGCACTGTGACCTCTCATCTACATGGATTTTGAAAAAGTGCTGAAATAACTAGTCCATCAATTCATTAGTCAATAGATAGAAAATGAACAGACAATTAATCACAGAGGTTGGACTAGTAAACTAAAGAGCAAGTACAGAGGGACAAAGTTCTACATAAACAAGAGGAGGGGAGGTTGCACATCCATTTTGAGAAGAATTAGTACATGATTTAGATTCAACAGTTAGCATAAGGTGTGTATGTGTTCACTAAGGAAAAATCACAACGTTAAGCCCAGTTCAGAAAACACATCCCCGTCTCTGGCCTTGGAGAACAAATTGGGCCGATTTAGATTGGGCAGTGGGTCAGCACCAGAAACACCGAGCCGAAGACAGGGCCACTAAATCGCACAGCTCCTATCAGGTTGAGGGTGACTGATGAGGGTAATGAGTGTGTGAGTGGGGGAATAATTAAACAAGGTGCTTTGACAAATGTACTGAGGACAGGATGACAGCAAACACACGAGTGAAGAGTCTCTCTGAGAGAGGACCTGGCTCGGACCTGCCACTGCCATGTGATTCAGTATAAAGTGATAATCCTAGTATGATGAAAAGCATGAGAGCAACTGAGACCCAGCAACACTGTCAATGTGAGTCATCAAAAAAAGTAGAAAATGAACCACCAGATGGTTTCTGATAAAACAGAGATGTGGGAGAGAGAGGATCCAAAACTGCACCAAAGGGAGAGTTAAAGGAGAACAGTGGAACAAAACAGTAGACCAGAATGACTTGAGAGATGAGGAGAGGGGTGGACCAGAAAAACAAGACGCAACAGAGGCACCAACCTTTCTTGAAGGCACGTGGGGAGTCTGAAAGATCGCCTTGGCATTAGAAATGAGCAACAGAAAAAAAGAAGAACAGAAAAGGGGAAGGAGAGAAAAGAGAAAACTTAGGTGAGAAGAGAAAAGGCAGGATTATCAAGCTGTGTTATTTGACTGGGAAAAGAGTCCAGCAGGGTGGAGTCAGAACATAAATTCAAGAGATAACCAAACTCAAAAATGGGATCAATTTCAGAACTGGCTAGCTTGATCTGAGCCATTTAGGTGTTGGCACATATATTAAATGTTCCTTGGGGAGTTACTTGTAATTTACTTCCCAACTTGCTGGAAGCATTCCATCCATCACGTTTTCTCTCTTTGACAATTCAATTTTTTATTTGGCACACGTGTGACAAAGAGAGAACCATAACTGCTCATTTTTTCACTAAGCTTTTGGCTCCAGCTCAGCACCAAAGCCTGAGGCTTTGTGCATTTATCTGAGCTTCACTAGTGCTGTGGTGAAGGCTAGGCCGAAGGGAACTGTGCAAGCACAGATAAGGCCAAACCCATGGCTCAACAGCATGTGGGCATCAGCATAAGACAGTGTAAACCTGTTCTCCCTCACAGTTCTGCCAGGCTTTGTCACCAGTGTCCTTCGGAAAGACTTATGTGCATGGCCTATTGTATTCCGCACAGCCACAGTTTTGTTGCTGACGCTGCTTGTGACTGTGTCTGCTCACCCTCTGGCTCTGCATGGGACCCCAGGGATGTGACCTGGAAGGGCCGGTAAGGCTTGCCCTCAGACACGGGGACTTCCACGCTCTCCTCTGATGACACGGTGACATCTGGCTGGGACTCCGAGATAGACGACAGGAACTGGTCCATGTCAGCTTTCTGCTCCTGGAGTAGCTCATCTGGCGAAAAGGCAAGTGACAGAATTTGGGACAACTTTGCACATACTACCACCTGCTAACTTGGGGCATGGCAGACAGTGTGAAAAATGATGGTCACACCAATGCCTGTTAATACCGCTTCTCCAACAGTCAGAGAGCTGCTGCTCCTGCTTAAACAGACAACTGTTCCCAATTCTGTTAACTACCAATTAGTATGTTTCTGAAAGCTATTTTCCATGTAAATCTTCACATCTCCCCACAGAATGCTGAGAAAGCTGTGACCTAGTTCCGTCACTGTGCCTGCTCCACTTTTATCTGTACTGCAACACCATGTTTGTTTCAATTAATGACCCAAAGGAAACAAAAGACAATATTAAAACTTGCTGGTTATTGACTGTCTTAAATTATACCAGCAGAAATAAATACACCCCAAGTACAGTTTCCTGCAAAGACCCTCAAAAACTGAGAGTGGTAGCTGCATTCATTCTCCCTCCCATTCGTACTGAGAACATATATACAGTACCTGTATACAGGGCCAGAGGAAATGTCATGCATTGGCATTGTCTCTCTGGTGAATGTGTCAGTTCCATTCTTATTCCAGCGACTCACCAATTTCATCCTGAATCTCCTCAGCCACATAAGGTACTTTGTAGAGCAGAGACAGACTCTGGTTCATCCTCTCTTCAATCACACGCAGGTGGGTCATCACCTGTCATTGGAAGAAATAAACAGTAACAGACACTGGGTCATCCTGCTGTGATTTTAGGAGATGGCTTGCTCCCATGGATGGAAGAAAATAAGATTTTTAATTAAAAGTACAATGTTTGCCTCTAAAATGTAGTGAAGTCAAAGTATAAAGTACATACAGATATCTCAAAAGCCTACTTGAGTGAGTGCATGTGCAAAATGGAAACAACAAATAATATTTTTCTGATTAATTGGTACAACCAAGAAGTGGACTTTAAATATTCAACAGATTTAATAAATGTGTAGACAGTACAAATGCTCTCTGCCCACAGTATATGTGCTAAGGGGAGGGAGTTGTTCATGTTCACAAACACAGAACTGTCACAGGACTAGGAGAAATGTTGTTTTCTGCTCCAGAGCATGAGATGAGCCCAGACTGGCTCCCAGCCAGCAAACACACTGACGTGAAACAAGTTGCTGCATGTAACATTCAAATCAGCCTTGAAGCTCTGAACTGCCTGTCAGTCCCAGTGAGCCTCGGTATCACAGGCCGGGTAAAAAGACAAACGATTTCGATTGAACAGTCAGAAAACGCTGTGTATTCCAAAAATTCACCCGTTGTTTTAACTGTTTCTATCAGCAACAGAATTTTTAGAGAGAAGAGAGATTTCCACATTTCTGCTGCCAAAGTTGTTGGCAGAATTTGAAAAGCTACCAGCCACTGACAAAGCTGACCAGCTCTTGGCAGGTACCTAGTGTTTATTTTCCGCTATGGTGATTGACTGTTTTAATCTTCCAACACATGGCTGCAGTGCACCAGCGCCAGCAACAGATGGCAATAATGCACCTTTCCCATTAAAGCCATGCTGCAGCCCCTGTGGCACCTTCCTGTGGATATTTGACAATCAATCCTCATTATAAACATTACATGTCTCAGTGTTGGACAAGTGATTTTGATGCATCAAAACAAAAACAAACAAACAATAAAACCCCACCTAAGCCGAACAGGTGAGGCTTTCATTTAAAAACATAAAATCCCAGAATGTGACATAACAGTTACATAAAACACAACAAGCCTGCTGTTTATGAAGGATTCTTTTGGAATGCACTTGTAAGTCACACATCAAATCCACAAACAAGGAGAGTTGCAGAAACTAAAATGCAGATTTGAGGTTGCTGTGAGAAAACCTGTACACTATGAGAGCACAGCAAAACATAATGGTTTCTGAGGACTGAGCACAGAGGCTCCACTCCCCCAGACCCCACAGTTCATCTAAATAATAACCCTCCAGCTGCTTTTTTCAGCGCCTTACTAGTTTGTTTCATCCATCTGTTGTGTTATCTGGGCGCTGACACACACAGGGCTGTACGTCTAACAGAGAAGCTTCCAGCGGCTCAGAGTCCAGTATTACACAACATCTGTGAAATGTTAATCTTCAGCTGAGGCTTAAGTTAATGAGACACCTGCCCTGCCTCCATCAGGCAAGCCAGCACACTCCTCCGGGGCTTCATCTCAGAGAAAAGCAACTCCTACACACTGAGAAACAAGGCAGAGAGGAGTAGGCTGGCACATCATTATCCCTCCCCTGTCTGAGCAGGAACAGAGGATTGCGAGAGATCTTGGAGTGACTCGGCATGAGTGTTTAGATTAACTGACAAAGCCGCTCATACAGTATGTCTTCATTGTCAGAACTAGGACTACACACTTTAGAGAATGAGTAGAATGATTAATTGGATAAATATAAGATAATTAATTCTAACAAAGAAGACAATTATTTTCTGGTGCCAGCTTCTCAAACCTGTCATGCTGATGCTTTTCTCTGTTTTATGTCATTTTAAAAATGAATATTTTTGACTAGCGACTGACCTGTGACTTCATCTGAGCAGCCTTTTCAGGATCCACAGCCAGGACGTGCTGGTAGTGGCGGATGGTGTGCTGGCGGTCCTTGTTCTCAGCACGGACGTAGCGCCTCAGGGCTTGCAGGATGCGGTGGGGCTGACACAGTAGGAAGAAGAGGGGTGGTTAGTAGTGGTAGGGGGTTAACCATTTCTGTGTGATTCTTAAATAGATTAGTATGATTCGATGTTCATGCCTCGTGTCTTTTGTGACATAACAGCTGTTTCTTCTCTGAAATGGTATCAATCAATTTTATTGCTCTTCTAATTTTATACTTATCAATCAAATAATTTTCAAAGTGATCTTTATTGTTCTGATCCCTTTTGAATATTTTCACTCAAAAGATTCATTTTTCATCAGAATCAGGTGAACTTGATTCTAGATCATAAACCTCAAAATGGTGAAACCAAACGGTCAAACTCACTTCGTTGTTATTAGACAGGAGGACAGTTTGTGCTACTGGAGGTGAAAAATAACATGAAATTGCTCTCTAGCCCTCACCCTAATAGAAGTGAGTGGAAGCATATCAAGAATTTCACTGTCAAATGTGGGGTGCCAATTATTCATTGCCTATAACATGACATAAAATCTTCTGCAGCACTTATTGAAATAGCATCACACCGCTGATGATGCAATTATCAATTTTGGAGGTGTAACTGGAGCAGGGTGAGAAACTACTGCACTCAAGTCATGCAGTATTATTGTATATAAACTGAATACAACATTAAAAATGTAATTTATTCACTTTAATGTAACAAGCCTGGTAGTTAGAGAGACAAGCAGCGCCTTGCAACACAGTGCCAAACTGTGTGCTGGCAGTATGATCAAAAGACTATTAGACACCAGGAATTAAAAAGAACTCAGCATGGAGATTATGGCTTCAGGTTCAAATGTGACTTTGTGCTCATGGAGGATTTTGCTATGTGTTTCCTGGCTACAGTAATCCATTCTCCTCATGATGAACTGAAGTTGGCAGAGGGTCTTTTCACAGGATATGAATGTGTTTGCACATGAACCGACGGGAGGAGAAACAATAGACAGATGGAAACAGGTGAGGAGAGGATAAAAGGTGCCCTCAGAGACCGGTGCGTGATGTTTACCTTGGGAGGGTCAGCCTGCAGGGCAGCCAGGTAGTTCTCCAGGGCCAGACGGCGCCGGTCATTCAGCATGGCTTCCACCCGGGCGAGGTGAGTCTCCACCAGCTGCTGCTTCTCACTGGCTGCCTCCTCTTCTAGGGATTCCACCATCGCTTGGAAGTGCTAGAAACAAAATCATAAATATATACAGATTTGTATATGCATCTTAAACACAACAGAGCTCCTTCAACTTCTACTTAGAAAAAAAGCTCTCGGTTTCACTCATGTCGCCTCTCAGGCTTGTCAAGGGAGTTGGCGACTCATTTAGAAGATTCCCCATTCAGCTGGTGCCCTAATTTAGCCTTAGAGTGATAAAGATAGAGCAGCCAG